AGGAGTGACTTTTTTTTAAAAGAAGCCTAGAAAGGTTTGTCATGCTTAGAATTTCTCTGAAGTTTCATGTTTTATCTTGAAACACTATTAATTTTGCCTTCTAGTGCATATTGAATGCATATTTATTTTAGTATAAAATGATGTGTTAAGTTAATATCGGGGGAAATGGTTAAGTAAAATTTTATCCTCCAATACAATTCTGTTGGCACTCTGCTGGGGTTTTCCCACTTGGAGAGACACAGTGCCTTAGAATGGTAGGACTGTACCTTAGGGCCTTAGGTCTAGTACACAGTGCCTGCTTTTCTCAGTATAGACTTGAGGGATGAAAATTATGACTGAGTCACTGGGAGTATCTGGCATACATAAAATACAAACAGTTATCACAAAGGAAGTAAACAGTGCCTCAGAGAAATGTATGGTCTAAAAAGCATTGAAGGACATTTGTAAGCTTAGTTCAACTATTGGTTTTATGTTAGCATATATAATATTTGACGGTAAAGTAATATTCATGTGTATATTTTTAAAATACAGAGTAAGTGGCCATAACAGGTACATGTTACTGTTTCTCCATGAGACAGCTTACTTAGGTCTGGAAATTACCATTGTGCTGTATTTTGATAAATACTTTAGGCTGCATTTTATTCATTGAGATTAATAGTACACACTGATCTTATTAGATATCCTGAGAAATCGTTTGGGTAACTTTTATTCCTAGATTCTCAAACTTATTAAAATAAGGAATTTGGTGCTCAATTTTTAGGAAACAGTATGATGGTCTTTTGTTCCATGCTATCCACAAATTGTCTACAAGTTCTAAGCTTTTTAAAAATTTGATTTGAAGGCATCTCAGGGGCTTGATTGAATGCTTGAGTAGCAGGATAGTATGTAGTGGTTAAAGCACATGTATATAGAGTCAGATTGCTCATGTGTATGTCCAGGTTCATTGTGACCTTAGGAAGCTGCTTAGTTTCTCTGTGCCTCAGTTTCCTCATCTAAAAATATCTAGCTGCCTCATGAACAGTTCTGTGAATTATTCAAGAAAATGTAAAGCACTTATAGTAAGTTGCCAATAAATGTTAGCTTCTGTCAAAAATAATGGCAAGCATTACTGTGGGAACTGTAGTTTTACGAATTTTTTTTAAGTAGCATAATTGTTGTTTGAAAAATATATTGTAATATATGTTCACTTTTAATAAACTAATTACTTTGTGATTGCAACAGAAACAGAAAAATGGGAAATAAGGGAAAATTAGAAAAATAAGCAGACTCCACATATATATAGTTCTAGGGTGTGATTATATTAAAACTTGTAGTAGGTTGACTGCATTTGTATTCGTCTGCCTAAAGTGAAACTTCAGGTAGTAATAGGAACATCTGTTATTTGCAGAAAGCATTTGCTTATCCCATTGATAGTGCATATGTGGAGATCACAGGTGCATTTTAGACTTTGGTGTTTAGATGTGGGATTACTTGGATGAATTTTTTACTTTTAGGAGTAATTTATGAGAGGAATGTATTGAAGACATTGGAGATAACTCTGTGCCCTGCTTATGGTCTCAAGCTTTTTACTGAATTATTTATTATTGCATTGTGTTAGCTATTTTGCTTCTTGATAGATCATTTTACACCACAATATTGCTGCTGCCTAAGGAAAAAAAAGTCTCTTCAGCAGTCCTAATGACCTCTAAAAAGGGTAATTTGATTCTTAAGATAGAATTTTGACTTGCTGTGGTGGTTATAAGAAATTTTCTCTATGATATTGAGGTAATATTTTTTCCTCATGCAATCATAGATATTGAATGCAAACTTGCCTTTCATCTTCTGTATACTTAGAAGTTTTCTTCCGGAAATTGTTTCTCTAGTATTTATTAACTTTATAATTATTTGTGTGTATTTTGGTCAGGTGGCTTCGATAATTTAAGGAGGGTTTAAAAATTTTTTTTATTAAGTTTATTTATTTTTGAGAGAGAGCACAGGGGGATAGAGAGGGGGGATAGAGGATCCAAAGCAGGCTCCTTGCTGACAGCAGGTAGCCTGATGCGGAGCTTGAACCCATGAACCATGACATCATAACCTGAGCCAAAGTCAGACACTTAACCAGCTAAGCCACCCAGGCTCCCCAAGGAGGGTTTTTAAGGCAAGAATCTAAAACTTCATGTCTCTGTAAAAGTGAATTTGTTAGCACCATTGTTTATATTGTTCTTGTTCTTTAAAATTGACATTTCCAAAAATAACCTAATATTTACTTTTTTTTCCTTTTTTTTGAGGACTGTCAGTACAGGTTATGGGTGGTATCCAGTAGGCAGGCAGGACTCACTGGGAGGGGACAACCGAGATGGCTAAAGCAGCACACTGGGTTGGTGGGTATGGATTGGTAAAAGCTGTCTTTTGGGCTCTGGGGCAGCATCATAGTCAGAATCTAGAATATTAGCCCAAACCAGAGGGACACAAGCAAGATAAAGAGTAGGAGTTAAAAACTTAACATACCTGGGGGCACCTGGGTGGCTCAGTTGATTGAGCGTCCGACTTCAGCTCAGGTCATATCTCACAGTTTGTGAGTTTGAGCCCCGCATCAGGCTCTGTGCTGACATCTCAGAGCCTGGAGCCTGTATCGGATTCTGTGTCCCTCTCTCTCTGCCCCTAACCCACTCACGTTCTGTCTCTATCTCTCTCAAAAATAAATAAACGTTAAAAAAAAATATTAAAAAAAAAACCTGAAGAAGTCGGCAAGTAATGTAAGTCAATGTGGCAGCTGTGGCCTGCTGGAGAGTCCCTCTCTTAAATTCAGCCATTTGTTGCTGTATGGGGATAGGGACCCAGGTTTTTGTGTAGAATCTTACATTTAAATGTTAGTAAGTCATTTTTTCCACCGATAAGTTACAAGCTAAATTTGGCCAGCAGGGTACCAGTTTGTAACTACTGTCTCTTAAGGGGGCTTTTTTCAAGTTTATAATAATTTTGATGATCTGAAACTATAGATAATTTTATATCAGTAAACTCTCTGGGAGTAAAAAATGAATAAAGGAAAGAAAAGCCTTCCCCATGTCTCCCATCTGATTTTCTAATACATCTTTACTTCTCTCTAATACATCTTTGGCTTCTCTATAAAAGATTGAGATTTATTTGGGGGAATATTAGCTATGTATTAATATCTCTTAGTTTAATTACCTGTAGCATTCTGACTGTATTTCCATGCAATTCTAATTATCTGTTTCTATTTAGCTGGGAGTTTTATATAATACATCAAATTTATTTTTGATACATTATTGAACAGGTGCCTTCCCTATTTAGTGTTCTTGATGATAATTGTCTTTCCTTTAAGTAGTAGTGATGATTTTTTTTTTTTTTAGTGTTTACTTATTTTTGAGAGAGAGAGAGAATGTGTGTGAGCAGGGGAGAAGCAGAGAGAGAGGGAGACAGAGTATCCAAAGCAGGCTTTGTGCTAGTCACAGAGAGCCTATCAAGGGGCTCGAACTCACGAACCGTGAGACCATGACCTGAGTTGAAGTCAGACGCTGAACTGACTGAGCCACCCAGTGCCCTGATGATTATTTTTTAAAAACCAGTTTGTGTGTTTTTTCTTAAACTTTTCCCTTTAAAAAAAAATTTAAAGTAAACTCTGCCCTCAAAGTGTGACTCGAACTCAGGACCCCAACATTAAGAGTCTCATGCTCTACCACTTAGCCAGCCAGGCATCCTGCTTGTGTGTTTCTTCATTTCTTAACTAATTCTTCCAACTTTCTATTGTGATCTTTTTAAAAATACAGAAAAAAATGAAGAATAGTGAAATAACTGTTCACATACCCACTATCTACATAAAGCTGTTTAACATTTTGGGGCGTTGGGTGGTTCATTCGGTTAAGCGTATGACTTCCGCTCAGGTCATGACCTCGTGGTCTGTAAGTTCAAGCCCCATGTTGGGCTCTGTGATGACAGCTCAGAGCCTGGAACCTGTTTTGGAATCTGTCTGTCTGCCTCTCTCTCTCTCTCTCTCTCTCTCTCTCCGACTCGTGCTCTGTTTTGCTTTCAAAAAAAAATTTTTTTTAAAAAGCTGTTAGCATTTTACTATATTTTATGGCTAATTGATTTACTTATTCAAAAATGAGTTGCAGACACGCTGCTTTACTGCTGTAAATTTGAGCGTGCTCCTAAAAATAAAAGATTCTGTAATCAGAATGTCATCTTACAAGTGTGTGTGTGTACACTTACATGTTATTTATGTTCTGGAAAGTGTATGCCCAGGACATGCTCATGAATTAAAACAAACAAACAAAATCTTCTCTATCTTTTTTAATTTGCTACAACAGGAGTGAAGGCTACTTTGGATCTGGGTCATAGCAGATATGATCTTTATTGCTACAATCCCTGAGCACCATCCATCCAAGTACCTTCAATAATAGGACTTTGCTTTCACAAGGTTCACGGAAATAAGGAGACTATTCTGATAGAGATGAGACTTTTTCCTAAAACTCCTAGCTTCAAGCTACACAGAATATTAGGCTAGGGGAACAGATGCTAATAGGAATAAGTCCTTTTAAATCGCTAGGTAAAAGACAGAATATATGCCCAGGGAGATATATTATAGAAATTTAGTAGGAGGTCTGGATATTTGGTCATTTGTTGATTTGTACTCATGACTCATTTTATTTTAGTGAAGGGTATTTATCCTACAAAGAAAATGGAAAACTAATACTTGAATAGCCCAAAGTAAAAATTTTCAGGATTTTAATGAAATTTCTCTTCTGTTTAGCAAGTTTTTGTATCTGTGTATGAATAATGCCTGAATATCTGTTTTGTCTACTCTCTAAAAAAGGAGTCAAAGGTGGATTTTGTGTCATTGTTAAGAGTTTGGGATTGGTATTTCCCAGTTTCACCCCAGAGCTATTAGAAAAAATATTGTCACTTTAATTATGCTTTTGTGTTTTCTGTGGAAGATTCAGTATTATGATTGCCTTCCTTTTTACTCTCCTTTTAAAATATGTTCTTTTCCTCTATTACAGATTTTTTTCTTAGGTATATCAACTGAAGTTTAATGAGAAGAATTGTGACCAGCTAGGAGAATTTTCTGCAAGGAATGGAATTAGCTCATAGCTTATTGCTGAATGAAGAAGCATATAATCAACTAGGTGAAGTTCAGAGGGCAGAGTTTATTTTTGATTGGTTGAGATATTTGGAGAAGCTCTTGCTGGCAACCAGCAGGGTGGGTAAAATTGCAAAAACTGTTTTTGTGTGTGTTTTTTTAAAATGCTGGATAATGTTTAGTTCCTTTGGTTTGCTTTTCTAGTTCTACCCAGAATAACCTAAATTAGCTTTCAAATGGTATACCTTATTGAGAGTTTATAATGAAATATTACAAGAAATTTGTTCTTTCAAAAAGCAGGAAGAAGTCAGCCAATATTTTTTATATTACTTAAAATATGTATAAAAATATAAACTACTATGAACCACATTTTATTAGATTTCATTTTCATTATCTTGTTCACCTTCATATGCATGAAGTCCTTGTGTAAGATACTGCTAAATATTGTAATGGGAGTTTTAAAAAGTTTGAGCTCTTTAAGGAGAATGTAATTGGAAAAGTCTTTTAGTAAACATATTCACTTTTAAGCTTATGAAATAAGTACCAGAAAAAAAGACACGCTCATATTTTCACCTGTATCCAGCATTTGTTAACATTTTGCCATATTTGACTGATTTACCAAGCCATGTGAGGTGGTTTTATACCTAAATACTTCGCATACATCTACTAAAAATGAGGATATTCTCACAATATCATATGCAATGCAAAAGCGGTGCAAAGACACTACTCATGGAAACATTTGGAATTTAATAAGGCAAAAATCCATACACTAACAAATACTTCATTGTAGGAGCTTAGACCTTAGTGATCACCTGAGTACCATTACTGCTGTAATGATACTCTGTACTCCTTTTTCAGAGAGCAGACAAGTAAAATGGAGTAACATTACTGGCATTAAATGCATAAGTTTGCAAAAAGAAAATTGCACTAAACTTAGAAAAAGATCTAAGTAAAACAAATAATCATTCATGACAAGGTCAACTTTAGCGATCGATTATACATTGCTCATGTACATATACATATGGCAGAGGCTTAATAGTTAGAATATGACTTTGCTCTACCTTTCACTAGAAAAAGATTTAGAAGAAATAGAGCCCTTGTCTTTCTTTACAGAGACTCCAGTGTATATTGGCCCAGAAATTATTTTTTAGAGATATCCTCAGGGCAACGAACTACCTGTTCGTGTGGTATAGATGACTACATCACCAAATGATCTGTAATTTTTCGTCAAAATAATTTTGCATTTTTCTAGAGTTTTTAATTCTTAAATATATGAAAGAAAAATCGTATTAGAGGATTACATGTAATTATGTTGACTTTGAATTGTCTTTTTGTTACCTTCCTTTCTAGAGTGATGTAAGGGAGAAACAGAAGACTCTGGTAGAACAGCTCCTATCTTTGTTGAACAGCTCTCCAGGGCCTCCTACCCGCAAACTGCTGGCTAAAAATCTCGGAATTCTTTATAGTATTGGAGACACGTTCTCTGTTTATGAGACAATCGATAAATGTAATGATCTTATTCGTAGCAAAGATGATTCTCCAAGTTATCTTCCCACTAAACTGTAAGTTAAATATTAAAATTGAACATAAAATAGTGCTTCCTTGTGGTATCATTTCTCTAAAGAACCCAAACTACTTGTACCCAAACTGAATACAAATTATTTCACTCATTTTTTTAAATCTAAGTTTTAAAAAACATCTAACATTTTTCCACTGACTGTTCTAAAAAATATTTTAGGCATATTTGAAGTCTTGATTTGGGAATCAAAACTCTCACTAAAAATTTAGCAGTTGAAGACTCGTAAATATAGAACACAAACTGGTGGTTGCCAGAAGTAAGGGATAATGGGGGTCAGGTGGAATAAGTGAAGGGGATTAAGAGGTACAAACTTACAGTTATAAAAATAAATAAGTCATGGGGATGAAAAGCACACCATAGGGAATATAGTCCATAATATTGTAATAGTTTTGTATGGTGACGGATAGTGACTGCATTTATTGTAGTGAGCATTTTGTAATGTTTATAATTGTCGAATCACTGTGTTGTACACCTGAAGCTAATATATGTCAACTATTAAAAAAAAGTGTTTAAAGATACATACAAAAAATCTTAGCAGTTGAGTGTTTAAGAAAAAGAGATTTTAAATTCTCCACATCTTGGGTGTTCTTTCAATTTGTTAGTTCTTATTAGTAAAAATTAATAGTAACTACAATATAGAAAAATACTCTTCCGAGCTCCTGAAAAAAACAGCTTAGAATTTTTCAATGTATTATTCAGTTCATTTTTTCATCTGTTATTTTAGAGAAGGCAGTTTGCCATGTATGGTTCCACAGTAGTTATTTTACAGAAATTTTTGTTGATCTTTTAGCTTATAACAGGATATATCTTCCCATACAGGTTTCAGACTTCAGACTTGATAAGAACATTATTTCCTATTTTACTTATCTTTTATCTTTAAGAGTATCTTTGATTATCTAATAATATATGTAGGTCAATTGTATGAAAAATTACTTTATAAAATTTGAGGGAATGGAATCTTTGGGCTGAGGTTTAGATTATTTGAAGATACATCTTTTTAAAATTCTTGTTATTGAAAGTATAATTATTTGATACTCATGCAAGTGTTATGCCTTAGGATTTAACTGTGGAGTCGATTCTGGGCAATTTTATCCTTTAAAGGTAAAATTAAATAGTCGCCTTTAATAGTCTAAGATTTTTTTTTCCTTTTTTTTCCCTCGTGACTGATTTCTAATTTAAATGTTGTTTCAGTGCTGCTGTGGTATGTTTGGGTTCCTTGTACAAGAAGTTGGGGAGAATCCTGGTTAACACCTTTACCGATACAGTGGGGAATATTCTTAAAGCTATGAAGAGTGCAGAGGTGAGTGCAAGTTCAACCAAAGAATAAAAAGGTAGTATTATATAGGTTTTATGATTTCTTGAACCAATAAAATTTCTTTACATATGATAAGCATATGTAGGTATGTATATAAATTTATCCATAAAAATATTTCTGGGAGATGCACATAGGTACTTGGTATATTGAATCTTTATTAGAAAGCCCATAATATGAGATTATAGATAAATTCAGATAGGCAAAAACTAAGGTATTTCTCTGGCAGACCCATCCCTGCTTCTTCCTCTCACATCACCTTTCCCCAATACTGCTTACTAGTACTACAGCAAGTGCTTGTCAATAAGGACAAGCTGCTCCTCCTCCACTTACTTGCTATCTCTCTTTCAAAATAAATAAAAATAAACTTTATTTTTTAAATGTTTATTTATTTTGAGAGAGAGAGAGTGTGTGACAGGGAGGGGCAGAGAAAGAGGGAGACCCAGAATCTGAAGTAAGTTCCATGCTTTGAGCTGTCAGCACAGAGCCTGACACAGGGCTTGAACCCATGGAACATGAGATCATGACCTGAGCCAAAGTGGACGCTCACCTGACTGAGCCACCCAGGGGCCCCTAAAAATAAACAAACAAAAAAATGTTTTTAATATAAAAATGTCATACCAGTTCTTGTTCTAACCTTACCTAGAAAAGAAGTCTAGAAAACAGCTCTGAAATAATTTAGAAAAATGCTGTCTAGTTAAACACATTTTTTTTTAATGCACCAAGATACAACATTGGAAAGTTCAAATGTAAAATATGCTAAATTTTGAGAAGAACATAGCTGATTTGGGGTGCCTGCCTGTCTCAGTAGCACATGCAACTTGCAATCTCAGTGTTGTGAGTTCAAACCCCATGTTAGGTGTAGATGTTACTTAAAAAAAATAAAATCTTAAAAAAAAAAAAGAACATAGCTGATTCAAGAAGTGATGCTCATTATATAATACTGGTGATAGAATCTACTCAGGAATTCACTTCTGAGCAGTGGTTTGCTGAAAGATTAAAGAAAGTGATTTAGCAGAAGAGATTGTCCGCATCTTTAATCTTTTGTTTTTAGAGGAAATGTTTGTAAGAACTTTTATCTAGTGAGGAATGACCACCTTAAACTTTTTTCTGACTTCACTCCCATTAGTTAAGCTGTCTTCTTTTCAGGCCCTATAGTTAACAGAGAATTGCTGTATAGGTTTCTGAAATTGTAAAGTTATTGCTAAGGATTTTATTTCTTCTTATTTTTGCCTTTATGATTTAGTTGATCAGGTACCACAACATGTTGGATATATCAAAAAGGTTCCCACCTTTGATCCACACCTTTCAGTAATAGACAACATAAAGTTGGGATAGAAGGAAATTCAGAAGTTTCACCTTAGGACCCATTTTGTTACGTCCACCTGTAATTATTCACTATTGTGCTCCTTTGAACAAAGATATTCAGAAATGAATATATAAATTAAAAACATCAGGGGCACCTGGGGTGGCTCAGTTGGTTAAGTGTCATACTCTTAATTTTGGCTCAGGTCATGACAAAGATGAACGAAGATGTTCATATATCTTTAAACAGATAAAATAAATTAATATTCCTATGAAGAGGATACTTGATGTTGATCTTGTCTTCTCTCAACTTTAGTTATCTTTAGTGGCCTTAACTTCCTGGGATATAGAAATCATTTGGGGGCATTTAGTAAAACATCAGTAACATGAGGAGCTACTATTTTTTGTGTGTGTTTACTGTGTGCCTGGCACTGTGGTGAATGTTTTCCCCACAAGGGTTCATCATACTGGCTCTATGGGGTTCATCTTATCCTCATCTTCTAGATGGAGAAATAAGTAGGAACGATTTAAAGCCACACAGGTACTAAGGGTCAGAGCCAAAATTCAGACCCAGGTCTTTTTAAGTCTGAAGCCCAGACTTGTCATCAGAGTTAAACTACTCGACTCATTAAATGACGTTAAAAGCTATGAAATCTACTGAGCATGTACTATAGGTCAGGTACTATTCTAAGTACTTTACCTGTAGTAACTTGTTTGATCTCCACAATAGCCTTTGAGGTGGATACGTCCATTTAACAGATGAAGAAACAGTTTTGTCCAAGGTCACCCACCTGCTAGGTGGCAGACCCTACACTCTTACCATATTGCCTCATTAACAGCAACCATTTATTGAATGCTTAGCAACATGCAAGCTTTGTGCTAGGTACTTTTCATATAATTTCATTTAATCTTCACATCAACCCTTTGTATTGTGTTGAAATGTAATATAGACAACACTTTTCAAATAGTAAACAGTGCATAAAATAACAGCTGTTAATGTTGGGTGGGTTGGTTAGTGTACACAGATAGGTAAGTGTTTCACTAATGTAGGAGGTAAATTTTGATGCTAAATGCTGCTTTTCACAGTGAATTTCTTTTCTTACTATTTAAATTTCTTCTTTTTGGTAGTCTCAAGGTCGATATGAGATTATGCTGAGTCTACAAAATATATTAAATGGACTAGGAGCTGCTGCTATACCTTGCCACAGGGATGTTTATAAAGCTGCTAAATCCTGCCTAACAGATAGATCCATGGCTGTTCGTTGTGCTGCTGCAAAGGTAAATGGTCTAATAAGCAGAATTTCTCAAAATAAATATAAAGAAAATTAAATTAGTTCATCCCTGTGAAAACACTAATAACAGCCACATGATCCTAAAGCTACAACCTTGGCAATCAGCTGAGACTAATCTTATGTTAGTATATGAGGAAACTGAGGCCCAGAGAATTCTATGGATTTCCCAAGGTTCTTCAAGTAGTTCACAGCACATTGTTGGAGGGTGGGGAATTCATGTTACCAGACTCTAAGTATTCCTTTCAGTCTACCATGCTTCTTCTCTGTAATTTTGTAAACTAAATTTTACATGTAAAGTTTACGTTATTTGAAAGAGATCTGTGCTTATCATGCCTTTTTTTTTAAGTCTAGGATTTAGATTTTGACATTTTAATTTCTTTTCAATATGTCACTTTTTGCAAGCTAGGAACAGAATCAGACTAAGGCAGTCTAGTCTTCTAAGGATCCAGGCCAAGTCTTGAGATCCTGTGCAGAATTATCATGCCTTCTTAATGTAGTTGGTTAGATAGTATGGTAAAGTTGTTGTAATCATTGTCACAATTGCTCATAGCCGACAAATTTGTTCTAAAGACATTTTTCCTAGCCTATTGAGTCAGAATGGATTTTCCTCCCACCCTCTGTGGACACATTGTTTTATATAATACAACTTTTATGACTTTTAGTAAGTACTCATTTTTTGTCCCTGCAGTCATTGTTTACATACTTTAAATTTGTATATCATTTTTGTTAGAACTTGATAGTTTCTACAACTTATATAGCTCTGAACCTGACAGTTAACATTTTGTTGTTCATTAATGTCTCTTTTTCCAATTAAATAGTGTCTCCTTGAACTTCAGAAAGAGGCCATCTTTATGTGGAGTACGGACCTGGATAGTGTGGCCACACTATGTTTTAAGTCCTTTGAAGGTTCCAATTATGATGTGAGGATTTCAGTTTCAAAGCTACTAGGCACGGTGTTGGCTAAAGCTATAATTTCTAAACATCCAGGAGCAGGTAAATTTATATAATTATTTTCATAATGTCTTATAATTTTTTCCCAGTTGGTTTATACAAACATAAAGGAGTATTACTACTATCCAATATTAATTCTGAAGAGCTGCAGGATATCTTAGAGATCAATTTTAGTTTATAAACATTGCTAAAGGTCCCAAGATTTCATTTTTAAACAATTCAGTAAAAATTTGAGGGAAAAAAATGAACTCTTGAAGAAATACACTTTATTTAGTCATTGTCTTTCTTTATACTATGGTCTTTGCTTTTTTTTTAAAAGTAAATTGTGAAACATTATCTAATAATAGATATGATCTGTATCTTAGTTCTTTTTTTAAGCAACATGCATTTGATTCCCTATTTTTGGCTTGCCATTTTCTAGGTCGGTATAAGGGAACAATGCTAAAAACAATTGGGCAATAATTACAAACAACAGGTATTTGAAATTCACCATACTTGGACAATTTGCTTTTGTTACTTTTTATTCCCTATTCCTACACTTATAGGCAATGAGCACAGATGGGATATTTTTGAAAACAAGAATTTGCCTGGATTTAATCAACAGTGTATGTAAAACACTGATGAGTAATTGAAAATTTGCTTTATCTTTCTGTCTCCAAAAAATAAACAATCTCACACAAATGAAAATGTGATTGTTCTGTAGAACCTTGCTTCTCAAACATTTGCAGACCTGTAGTATCAGCATCACCTCGAAGCTTGTAAGAAATGCAGAAACCCAGGCCCCACACAATTTACTAAATCAAAATTCTCATTTGAATAAGATCTCCAGATAATTCATAATGCACATTAAAATTAGAGAGGCGTTGCTTAAGAAATCATTATCATTATATAAAGGGAAATTGTTTTTCCTAAAGCCAGTGTTTCTTAACCAGGGATGGGAGAGGACAGTAAGCACAGCATATCACAGTCACATGGGGAACATTAATAAACTACAGTCCCCTCATTCTGAGATTATAAGTAAAATTTATAATAAATTTTTATTTTCATTACAGTTTCTCTAATCTTACAATTCATTAAGACTTTCTTACTTACCGGGTAGTGAGGAAAGGGTGAATAGGAACAGGAAGAAGCCACACACAAAAAAACCCAAACCAAAAAAAAAGTTGTTCAGGACAGTTAGGAGTTTAAATCTTAAGCCACCTAAAAAATTAAAGTTAGAAAACATGTTTAATGTCTTTTGAATTAATCCTTTTGAAAATGTGGATTGCTCATTTCTATATACATTTCTATAAATGTATCATAAGCGCTGGCACACAGTTGCAGTAAAAAAAGCAAAATGTAGAAATGCATAAGAAATGTGAATAAATAAGTGTATATGCTTTGATGGTAGCACTAAACTAATGCTAGTGTTTTTGTAATCAGATTGAGCAAAGTGAAGAATCAGCTTCATCCACACTAAGAAATCTTTAGGATTTAGCCTAATCTTTTGTTAGAAATTCTGTCATCTTGCGTCAATAAATTCTAGCCTGCAAATAATTGAGTTATTTTTGTACCACTAAGAAGTGATGTAGGTATCATAATAGAGTTTTTAAAGGTGGGGACTAATAGCAACATAGTGCTGAATAATTTAGAAAACCAATGCACTGGAGGTTTATATACTCAACCATAATACACAAAGGTTATAAAGTAGAGAACTGAAATGATTTTCCTAGTAAAACTAACAGGCTTCATTCAAACAAGTGGTATGTTACTCCAAGGCATTTAAAAAGCAGGGATTGAGTGTGACATTTTCCTATCATTGGAACGAGTTGTAGGAATTGATGTGATCTTTTAATATCTAATTTAATATTGTAAAACCTTCATTTGTAAGCATAATTGATTCTGGAAGCATGCTTGTAATCCAAAGCACTTGTATATCAAAGCAAATTTCAAGAAACATTGACTCAGTTGTGATCACGTGATATTTAGCATCATGTACTACTCATATTGCAAGACATCACTCATTTATCAAGTTAAAATTTGTTAGAAATATTTGCTTGTCTTGCAGAACACTTGCTGAACAAGTTACTTGCAATCCAAGGTTTTACTCTATCATTCTCTTACCTGCTCAAGGACATTGCCCTAGAAAGTCTCTCATCTCTTTTATCAGCTTTTCTCTCTCTATTGGATTATTACCTACAGAAACATGATTTTGTTTCTCCCATCTTTAAAAAAAAATAATCCTTTTCTGTCTCATTTCCCAGTGAGCTGGAGGTCCATTTCTCTTCCTTTTGCAGCAAAGTTCCTCCGAAGAGTTCTTGATACTGTCTTTAGTTTCTCTCCTGCCATATTTTTCAAACCACTTCAGTTAGGATTCTCCTCATTCACTCCTTCAAAACTGCTTTTTTTGTTAAGGTCACCAAAGACCTCCATGTTCATTCATTCATTCAGTAAATATTTGTTGAGTGTTTATACTTGGCCAGTATCTTTTCTGAGTACATGGGTTATGTCATTGAACAAAACAAATCAAAAGTGCCTATTTTGAGCTTATATTCTGATACTCCGCCATGCCAACATCAGTGGGCAGTTCTCAGTTGTCTCACTTGACCTTTCAGCAGTATTTAACTTGGCAGATCCTTTTCCTCCTCTTTTTTTCACTTGCCTATGGGACTTCATTCTCTCTTGGTTTTCCTTCTTCTCCACTAGAAATTCCTGTTCCATCTTTGATGATTCCTTATCTTTTTACAGAAGAAGCCCCTTACCTAGTACTTGGTCTTCTGCAGTGTATGTATGTGCATCCTCTTGGTGATCTTACCCAGTTTCGTGGCTTAAATACCATCTTTCAGGGATTCTTGGATTTGTATCTTTAGCCTGGGCACCCAACTCTCATATCTAGCTGCCCCTTTGACATCTCTTTGGAAGTTTATTTGATGTTTCAAGTGAACTTGCCCTAAAGCGAATGCCTGATCTCACCTCCCCTAGAAAATATACATACCTGTTCTACTTACAGGCTTGCTAATCTCAGTTGATGCCAATTCTATCCTTCCTTCCAGAGGTTCAAATAAAAATTTGGAAAGTCACCCTTGACCCTTATCTCTCATACTCAATAGCTTTTCTACCAGACAGTCTTCAAATGTACCCAGAATTGAGACATCTTTAGGATTGGCTAATGATGAGGCTGACGCCTCTGAAGATGAGCTTGGAACTTATTGTTGTGCCAGAAAAATAAGGTGCTTCCACTGGCCAGCTCCTTGAAGACAGACCCACTGGTGACATCCAGGACTGTTAAGCAAAATTAATAATGACAGAAATTTATTATAACCTACTAAATAAAAAATCTATGAGTGCCTACTGAGAATAAATAAAAGAGAAAGTTCTTTTCTACAGTAAATGCTAACTAATAAATATTGAAGGAATGATTGTTAGATAATGACCTTTTGCAGTCATTATAGTAATAATTTATGCAGGTAGGAATCCTCTGTACCTAGTTGGATGAAAGTTTGATGGGTTATAGCATATTTATACTGTCTTAAAGGATCACCACACAGGTTGCATAGTAATTACGAAAGGAAAGTTGATATTTTACAGTGGACAGACCTGGCAGACAAACCTCATTCATGTGTTCAAAGATCATAACACCAATGTAGGGACAGACTAACAGTGCATTTTAATGTTATACATTGAAAAGGATTATGGCATTACTTAACGTGGTTCTCCTGCCAAAAATTCTGAGGAAATACTAGACAAACTCAGATTGAGTGCTGTTCTATAAATGTTTTCTTCAAGAATGACAAAGTGATAAGGAGAATATGGTAACTCTAGGTGAAGGGGACACGGGAGTTTATCTTGCAATTCTTGCAGCTTTTTTTTATAACATACTTTTGAAAAGTTTTGAAATAAAAACTTAAAAATACATATGTATGTATATCCAACTTCACTCTTCTGCAACCACTTTGATCTAAGCCACCATCGTCTCTTGCTTGCATTACTGAGTTGCTTCTAGTGGGTTTTCTTGTCTCAGCACAGAAGCAGAGTGACAGATTATATCACTGCTCTGCTTAAGGTCCATCATTAGACCCACTCACTTCACTCACATCCTTATAATAATGATCTACAAGGATCAATGTCTTCTCTCTCCCCATCCTTATACTCTGGCCTGTCTCATATTAGATTCCTCCAGTGCTCTGTTCATATAACTCTACTTGAACCCATTGGGCATCATATCCTTCTGAAAGGCCTTTTTGCCCTACGTATTTGCTCTGCCTAGAACACTTTTTCTCCATATATCTGCATACCTGATTCCCTCACTGTTCTCAAACAATGTTTAGATGTCACCTTTCCAATGAATCCTACCTTGACTACCCTATTTATTTTTTAAAATTTTTTAAAATGTTGTTATTTATTTTTGAGACAGAGCATGAGCAGGGGAGGGGCAGAGAGAGAGGGAGACACAGAATCTGAAGCAGGCTCCAGGCTCTGTGCTGTCAGCACAGAGCCCGAGGCAGGACTTGAACTCACAGACTGTGAGATCATGACCTGAAATGAAGTCGGACGCCTAACTGACTGAGCCAGCCAGGCATCCCTTGACTACCCTATTTAAAACTCACAAGCAGGGGCGCCTGGGTGGCGCAGTCGGATACACGTCCGACTTCAGCCAGGTCACGATCTCGCAGTCCGTGAGTTCGAGCCCCACGTCAGGCTCTGGGCTGATGGCTCAGAGCCTGGAGCCTGTTTCCGATTCTGTGTCTCCCTCTCTCTCTGCCCCTCCCCCGTTCATGCTCTGTCTCTCTCTGTCCCAAAAATAAATACACGTTGAAAAAAAAAAAAATAAATAAATAAATAAATAAAACTCACAAGCATTTGGGGCACCTGGGTGGCTCAGTCATTTAAGTGACCGACTCTTGATTTTGGCTCAGGTTGTGATCTCATGTTTGTTCAAGTCCCACATTGGGCTTTGTGCTGACAGTGCAGAGCCAGCTTGGGATTCTTTTCTCTCCCTCTCCCACATGTTCGTTCTCTCTCTCTCTCTCTCTCTCTCTCTCTCTCTCTCTCTCTCTCTCCCCCTCTCTCCTCTTTCTCAAAATAAATAAAACAAACCAAAACACAAACACTTCCCCCCAGTGTTCCTGAGCTGCTCTATTTTTTTGCATGGCTTTAATTACTGCCCAGTATACTATATATTTGGTCATTTATTATGTTCCTTATTCTTTCCTTCCTAGGATTTATGATCCATGAGGACACGGATTTTATACTGTTCACTAATGTTTTTCTCCCAAATGCCAATATAGATTTTCATTTGTTTCAGATAGTTACTTCCTCCTTAGCCTAAGGAGTAGATTTTTTGTTCATAACTTTGATTAATGGAAGTTTATTTCCCCACTGTGTATGACTTGAGCCAATAATGGTGTCAGAGCTCATGACCATCGTTACTCAGAAGAATGAAAGGGAGAAAATGGGTTCTTTTTTTTCTGAGAGCTCTTATTCCCTAGATATTCACAGGTAGAAATTCACCTATGTCAAACTGCAGACAAACTTGAAAGTAAATATTCTGCCTTAATTAATCTCTTAATTATTGTAGCCTAAGGGCCAACTGAGCAAATTAGTAATATTTAGCTTTGATTTCTCTACAGACTGAGGATGAAAAAGTTGTGCCTGCAGTTGAAAATTTTTAAAAAAATAGGACATGTTGGTTAACATGTAACATTTAACATGTAATATTTCAAAAGAATTTTTGGAAAATGAGGGGAGTTTATGTTTTTTATTTTAGAGGATGGTTAGCCTTTTAACTTCTTTGTGGAAAAGAGGGTAGTAGGGCATAATCTCAAAGTGGCTTAGTGTTTAAGATGTCATTGACATGATACTTCAGAATCTGTTAGGATTTGACCTCTGAACCCTTGTATAACTTTGTGTGTTAACGCATGTAATGTCTTGTCAGTTCTGCATTTTGTTTGGATTTTTAGTTTATTTTTGTTACAGTTAACATGTTAACCAAGATCATACAAATCAGGGTCATGCATTAAAATTTTAGTCTGTAAAGTACGAATCACATGTTTTGTTCTTTGTTATAGCAGCCTCACGTCAAAGCATGCGCAGAGTATCTCTGGAGGAAGTTCTGGAATTACTAGGAACAGGGTTTCTCCGTGGGAGTTCAGGATTTCTTCGAGCCAGTGGAGATATGCTGAAAGGAACCAGTTCAGTCAGTAGGGATGTTCGAGTTGGAGTTACTCAGGTTAGAGTCACATATCAGTTATCTACGTGTAATGCTCACTGGCCTCTCTAATGAGGATATTAGTATCTGCATATTCCAGGCATAAATGATACTGTGCAGGGTCATCACTTATGCTCTCATATTTATAAAATAGACTTGGTAAGGCTACAACACTCTTTAAAAGCTACATTACAAGTAAGAGAACCGTAGTTACCTAAAAGCCAATGAAATAGGCTATTACTCACAATGTGTCTTTAGTTCCTAATAGAAATTTTTATTTCCTTTGAAATACAAACAACATTTGTTTGTTTCTAGGCCTTATGCTTTCATGTGTCTTGTAGTTTAACATGTTTTCCATTGTGCTTTTGTGTGCTTTTACATTTCAGATATAAGGTACACGTTAGGTATGTATCACTCAGTATGGGTAATATTGTATTTCCATTTTATGTGGTTTCAATTCCTAAGTAAAAATCATAGCATATAATCTAAGTTAAACCTAGGAAAAGTATCTTAGAATAAAACAACACAGAGGTCTCTGAATTATCTTGTTTTCTAAATGCCCTTATGGTTCAAAGTGAATGTTGTTAATTCACGTATGTTCTCATTGTTTTATACTGTATACAGATGTTAGAGTTCTTGAGAATGTAAGGTATCCCAGTATAATTGTAAACTGAGTATTTCTAAAAGAACAGATTACATAAGAAATCTACTGTCTTTGTATCTCTGGAGTAAGACCAGCCATTAACATTTATGCAAGTAAAGAGCAGTGATTCATCACTGTAAAGTTTCCTTTCACATTTCTGGGTTTAAATTCCCTTAGAGTTAGGGTGTTGGAATATATTTAATTCTTACAATGTGTTCATGTTTGATTTGGCTTTTCTTGTTCAGAATCTTAAAGAGCTTGAATTTGTTCAGAGTAGCCAGAGGCACATCCTGCGTATTGGCTGGCTCTGCTCACTATCCTGCAACTTTGCACAGTCTGACCAAATAAAAATGCAGCATAAATGAAATCCCAGTTGAAAGACTGTGTACTTCATATTTGGCTTAATAAACAAACAAAAAATGTGGAAAGAGTAAAAAGAAACAATAACTTATGTATGTTTAGTAGAAGAGAAAATATTAATATAGAATTGAAATTATTTCATTTTGAAGATAAAACTCTTTTCTTTTTTAGGCTTATGTGGTATTTGTTTCAACACTAGGAGGGACATGGCTAGAGAAAAATTTTGCTGCCTTTCTTTCCCATATTCTAAGTCTTGTGTCACAGTCGCACCCTAAAGCCACCCAAACTCAGACTGACGCTGTCTGCGGTCGCCGTTGTGTTTCATTTATCCTCCGAGCTACTATAGGAGGCCTTCTTGGAGAAAAAGCTCAAATTGCTGCTGCCAAGGATATTTGCCAGGCTATCTGGAAGTTAAAGAAAGTTATGGGTATGGATCTGTTACAACATTCTGTTTTAACAGCTCTAAAGGAATTGTCCTTTCAGAAAAGCTAGACTGGCTACATTAATACAAAAAACACTTTTGTAATAGAGGTCATTTGTTTTAGGGCAAAGTTGTCAATACATAAATGAGACATAAATTATCTCACTTGGTAAGACCTGTCATATATATGTTAAGTCTTAAAGGCTGGTGATAATAGTTCCTCAGAATTCATAGTCTTCCCCTAGAAGTTGATAAAAGTGTTTTGAAACAATCCATGTCAGTTCCTGTACTATTTTAAGTCCACTCTGTTTATCTCGTATACCAATAAAATTGGAATATTTTTTAGTTTTCCATGAATTCTCCCTTTCAGTGCGACTTGCTGTAAGAGTAATTAAGGGCTGATGGTCAGGTTGCTTGAACTAAATTGGTTATATTGGTTCATTTCTTTCTCAATTAATGCATGTCCCCATTTTAGTATTTCAGTTAACTGCCTTAAGGGTTTCATATATGAAGAGTGGAAGTATTAATTTTTACCTTTATATTTTGTGCTCCTAACACCCACCCCCTACAATATATTTTAATAAAACATTGATGCATAGTTAGTTCTTCTGCTTCTGTCAGATGCTGTGATGAGTGACAGTAATGTGGAGACCCGGCTTGGCTCCACAGATGTAACAGCCAGCCAGCATATGCTGGTGTGTGCTCTACAAGAACTTGGAAATCTCACATACAGTCTTGGCACCACAGCTGCACCTTTGCTGCAAGATTCAAGTTCAGGTATGTGTTGTTTGTGACTCATCTGTATACCTTGTGTTTACTTTTACTCTAGACAACTTTTTTCCAGGGAAGAGAGTCTCCCTCATATAGCTCATTTATTATAGATTCCATTATAGATTTGTTAGAGATGTTTTATGAAGTGTATATAATCAAAATTTAAAAAAATAAGTATATACTTCAGCTTTTTCTTTTATAATTAAAAGTTTTTCTCTAAGTCACCCCCTTAGTTTCCCTTTCTGGAGATATTTAAGATAACATGGAAAAAAGAAGCAAACCTCAATTCTTGTCTCTCATCTACAGTGAAAACTTGTATGATACAAGTAATTCACTTCCTCAAAGTTCCTTTCAAGCAGTCTCCATTTTCTTACTCTCTTGGAAAACTAATCACTTTTTGAGGGGCACCTGGGTGGCTCAGTCGGTTAAGTGTCCGACTTCAACTCAGGTCGTGATCTTGTGGTTCATAAATTTGAGCCCCGCATTGGGCTCTGTGCTGACAGCTGAGAGCCTGGAGCCTGCTTCAGATTCTGTGTCTCCCTCTCTTTCTGCCCTCAACCCCACTAGTGTTCTGTCTCTCAAAAATGAATAAAAACACCAAAAAAAATTTTTTTAAGAAAATTAATCACTTTGAGAGATAATTCACATACCAAAAAGTTCACCCTTTTGAAGTATCCAATTCAGTGGTTTTGGTATATTCACAGAGTTGTATAACTATCACCACTAATTTCTGAATGTTTTCATCACGCTAAGAAGTCCTATACCCATTAGCAGTCCCTCCCCATTTCCCTTCCCCCAGCCCCTGATAATCACTAATCTACTTCCTATCTCTATGGATTTGCCTATTCTGGACATTTCATATAAATGAAATCATAAGAATATGTGGTCTTTTATTTAAACATTTTTAAAACTCACTTTGGATGGCTTTTGTCCTTTGACTGTGACATGTTTTTCCTGCTGACTGAAGTTTACATTATGTTTAGTTTGTAAGCTCTTATCCCATATTATTGAAGTAGTAGTCAACGTGAATTGTTACATGTTTCAGTGAAGTTGTATGTTGAATTACAGCAAATACAGACTTTTATTCTTAACAGTAGTGGTACTCCACTGTCTTCATAATTGGTTAGTAGACTACTGAGGACCTAGCAAAGCCTGTTTTATTTAACATTTTATTCTCAGGTAAGAGTGATATGGCATATAGGAAGTGTACTAATTATGTAGATAAATGTGCCAAAAGAGATTTTTTAAAAAGAGGAGAATGGAGCATAATGTGACATTTCTTTTCAAGGTGTTTTTGTTATTTATTGATACTTTTTATTCCAAGTACCAAATGAATAGTGATCTCAAGATCAAAAAGCAGAACATTGGCTTATTTAGGAAATAAAATTTTTCTTTTGTGTTTTTATTTAAACCAGTTTTCATGAGACATATTAGTAGAAGTAATTCTTACAAATAAAAATTATAACTATGTTGTCTTTTTTCTATTCTGGTTTGACTTTTGATAAAGATAATATATTTTATATCCATGTGGCTGCTTATTCTTTTGACTTTTTTTGGCTAAGTGAGTTTATCTGTAGAGCTAAGTCTTTTTTTCCTGTCCTTCCAGGCATTCTTGACAGTGTCATTTCAGTTATTGTGCATCCTAGCATTTCTGTTCGACTAGCGGCAGCTTGGTGTTTACACTGCATTGCTGTGGCATTACCTTCTTACCTAACACCTCTTTTAGACCGTTGCCTGGAACGGCTTACTGTACTTAAGTCTTCACCTGAAGCAGTGACTGGCTTTAGTTTTGCTGTGGCAGCTTTGTTGGGAGCAGTGAAACATTGTCCTTTAGGAATTCCTCATGGAAAGGGCAAGGTAATGGTTTCATTCTCCACATATGATAATGACGTTGCCAGTTTTTGCTAAAAACATCATCGTCTTGTGTATCACCCAGTCAAAGCCATGTAGGACAAATTTCTGACCAGTCAGCTAACTTACTTAATTTTTAAATATTATCGAATAATTGCTGTGAAAAATGAAGGGATAGTAAAAAATATTTTACCCACTCTTAAACAGGAGTGCTTTCTGTGCTTTTTATTGGAAATATCTTCCTTTAGTAACAGAATTTGTTCCTGAAGGCTTTGTTTTGCTATATATTTAGCTCTGCCATAGAAGTGCATTTAAAATTGCATGTAAAAAATATAATAAAATAAAATCGCATTGTAAAGGACAAATCTTAAACTTTTTAAAGTAATTTTGTAGGTTATAGTATTATTGGTAATAGTATTTTAAAATTAGTAGTATTTTGAAAATAGTTAATGTTCTTAGGAATCAAGATTTTCCATATTTAAAAAAAGAGAGTTGCAGTTGTAAAATCAAGGAAGTAAAAGCCCCCTGTGTTAAATTTGAATGGAAAATATTACTGTTCCCTGATAATTTTTTTCTTTTCAAAAATACTTAAATCCTCACTCTGTCCAGTGACAGGACCTAAAAGCATTGACAACCTGGTAGCAAGGAAAACCCCCAGTGCTCAGATTATGGCTCAAAACCCATTTTAGCAAAAAGGAATCTGGGCTACATGAAGGAACGGCTTGTTCCAGATCCGGGGTAGGAAATGCACAATATAAACCTCAAATATCTTGTCATGCCAGAGAACAAGGAAGTCATCAAAGACTACTGTGTTCATTTTAATAGAATACAGAAGGTAACTTAAGGGCCTCCTGCTGACCAAAGATGGGATAATGTGTGCATCAAAATAAAAAACAGTAACAGTGGTTTGAATAACTAGGAATTACAAGTTATCAGAGAATGTTGTTTGACAGTGAAAGCCTTTTTAATCTAGGCCTTACACACATACAAGTATTTTTTTAGAAATAAATCACCATTGTTCCTTGCTTTCTCACTGTCACTCTTATGTCATTATTAGTATTATATTTGCCGTTTAGGCTTTACAAAAGAACATACCGTTACTTCAGAGGTTCTAAAACTATTTTGAGGATTGCCAGTACCATTTGAGTATGGTGATTGACAACTTTGGGAGGTGATATTCATTTAAATTCATTCTTTTATTATTTTAGTTATATTTGAAACTAACATATGTATCTTACTAAGCAAAGAATTGCCATTGCATATATTTAATTAAATTTAATATCCTCAGATTTTACTAGTTTAGGCAGAAAGGATTGGTTCATTCTTGTTCTTATTGAGTGTTACCCATTGGTTATATAGGCTGCAAGTAGTCCTAAGGTAGTAGTAAGTTGATTGGTTTGCTTTATTTATATTTTTATTCTTTTGGTTAGTTTTAAAATATACTAGCCTTCCTGTTTATAAAATTTATATGCCAGCTCATAATACTTGCTGCTTTTCTAGAGGTGTTTGGTAACAGAGATGTTTTCTCAGATAATAGATGCCTCAACATTGGCCTTTGTACTATAAAAGTATGCATTATCCATAAATGTGAAATATCTGGGTTTTCCTCCTTTGTTTTACAATACTGCCAATGTCATAGACTTTTAAAATAAAACATTTTTATGAATCCCACTCTACTGTGAAACTCACTTCAATGCGAGACTATTTTGAATACTTTTAACCTCTGTAGTATATTGCCTCTGGAAAGATTTTCAGCCACTCAGATATCAAAATAGTATGCAAATTTTAAAAAAGACAGATGCCTGGGGCGCCTGGGTGGCGCAGTCGGTTAGACGTCCGACTTCAGCCAGGTCACGATCTCACGGTCCGTGAGTTCGAGCCCCGCGTCGGGCTCTGGGCTGATGGCTCAGAGCCTGGAGCCTGTTTCCGATTCTGTCTCCCTCTCTCTCTGCCCCTCCCCGTTCATGCTCTGTCTCTTTCTGTCCCAAAAATAAATAAACGTTGAAAAAACAAAAAAGATGCCTATGATGAAACTTTTTCTGGTAATTACAGATTTAAGGTAATTGCTTAAAACTAAAATTAACTCAAATTCTATATACCTTAACTTGAACAGTTATACAATGTCATCATATGTGCTCTACAAAGAATTATAGGGCTGCTGTATACAACCTAATATGCCAGTATTTAACCTTAAAACTTAACAGTTTTTATAGTTTTCTCTATGATGTTGTCCTGTGGTATAGTCTACATGATTGACAGTACTTTTTGACTTTCATTTGTCATGTAAGGGTTAATTTTTCAAGAGATTGTTAGTTGCTGTCATTTGTCATTAACCTATAAATTGATATGCTTTTTTTTCCCCTTGTCCTTCTCCATGTAAATAGATTATTATGACATTAGCAGAGGATTTGCTGTGTTCAGCTGCTCAAAACAGTCGTCTTTCAGCCCAGCGCACACAGGCTGGATGGTTGTTGATTGCTGCTCTGATGACATTAGGTAATGACAGTCTTGTGGAAGGTTTACATAATTATGAAGTACTCTGTGTTTTCTGAACGTAAAGTATTGTATGATTTGAGGAGACTAATTTTTAATATATACCAGAATTTAAGTATCTACACAAACATTTTTCTTCTGGCAGTCAGCTTAGGAAGCCATATATTTATTCCATTCCTCAAAATGTTTTCAGATCTCCTTATTTAAAATTCTCTTCAAGACCAATTTATGAGCCTTGTTAGGATAAGTCAGTTCAGGCTTAACTCTGAATGACTCTGAATTTTCCAAAAATCATTCACATCCATCTTCAGGGGAAAATAATTTCCACAATGTAAGGGTTGGCAAGAGACCATACCATAGCCTGTAAATCCAATTCTGTAATTGTTTTGAGAATTGGTAACACTAATAAGATAATTGGAGGGGGATAGGGTTCATTATATTTATTAAAAATCAGCAAGTATTTTATGGTCATGACTTTTGTATTTGCATCCTATAACTTTGAAAATCAATTTTATTACTTTATTAAAGTTGCATTTTAAATCTCTCTTTTATAATATCATTTGTTGCCAAGATATAAAACTGGCTGGATTTAACCAATAAATCATTTTGACATCTCTGAAGTAATATGATCTAAAAGGAGCTTAAATTAGAGTACCTGGATAGTTCATTCGGTTGTATCTGACTCTTGGTTTCAGGTCTGGTCATCATCTCATGGATTCATGAGTTTGAGCCATGTTTCAGGCTCTAAGCTCTCAGCACGGAGCTTGTTTGAGATTCTTTCTCTCTTTTTCTGTCTCTCAAAATAAATGAATAAACTTAAAAAAAAAAAAAAAAGGAATACTCCCTAAAAACATTTTACTTAAATTAAAATAAGCAATCATAATTGAAGAACCATTTTAAATAATGTTCTTGATGATTAAAGAGATTTATTGGACTGTATCAGGGTTCAGCCTATGGGCCAAATTTGACTTGCCCTGTGTTTTATACAGCCTGTGAGCTAAGAAGAGTTTTTACATTTTTAATGGTTAAAAAAAAATATTTTGTGATCATGAGAATTAACATGAAAGTCAGTTTTCAGTGTACATAAAGTTTTATTAGAGCGCAACCATTATCGTATATATTGTCTGTGGCCTTTAAGCACTACAGTAGCTGAATTAAGTTATTGCCAGAGACTATGTGGTTTGCAAAACCAAAAATGTTTACTGTCTAACCCATTACAGAAAATTAGGCCCCTGGCATAGGTCATCATTTCACCATGTGATGGGGATAATGTGGTCAAACTTTTATTTGCTTTTTACTGGGTGTTTCTTGCCTGCCATATTGATGATTTTGGTTAATTAAAGGAGAAAATAAACTACTTAATAAGTGCAATATTTCAATGAACAAAACTTTTCAGAACAAAGTAATTCCATTGGAAGACGACTACAAGAAATCCCTTCTCTTTTAAAGAGATTATTAGTATATCATATTTTACTGCATAATCATAGTCAACATACAAAAAAGGATTAAAATTTTAAATTGATATTGTTAATTACTGTGTTTTCTTGGGCTTTAATCTCTTGTTTTATGTATTATTATTTACCTTTATTATCAATTTTTAGAATATATTGCTAATAACCTAGCAGCTGTCAAAGGTGTCAGTGAGGTTTTTACTCTTAAGTATCATTATGAACTCATAGATTTTTATATGTGTTTCAGTCCATTGCAGTCATTATTCCTTTTGATCCTCAAATTGTCAGTGAAAGCCCCTTCAAGCTGGTTCATGTATCCTTTTGACATGAACCTGGTATTCTTTGATAACATGTTTACTTTTGGCATAACAAGATGTCCCAGCTTTTACATTACATTTTCTGCTCCAGGCTTGCAACCAGTCATTTTCCAAGGAGTGTTGATTCTTTTTTGTGGGAAATGGTATGTAGACCATGTGGGTGCTTCATTAATTTTTGCCTTGAAGTTTTAACACCTTTTTTACATTTTCAGCATTTCCTTTACCATTAACAGTTTCCATCACTGTAAATATATTCACTATTCTGAACTAATATAAACTCAAATAGACCACATTCAAATCGGTTCCTCAGATGTAAACTACAGCATTTTTAAAACTTTTTTTGTTACACTTCCCACTTTATCTGATACCACCTGAAATAACTTGGATTCACCTGTAGACATCTACATGGCTTATAGATCTGTGAATGATAAAGTGTGTAGTTTTTGCTAGGTACATTATTCTTGGTGTGAATAAACTTACTCTTGTTTATGTATTCTCTTTGTAATTACTATGTACTCATTTTTATTGTTAATTCATATATGTCTCTGAAATGACATTGTAGGAAAGAGGCACTGTTCACTACTGAATTAGTGAGATATCTTAAGGATGTAATGACAAATATATATGAAACTTGTCAACTGTGGGTATTTTCAGTGATGCTACACTTTTTTTTTTTTTTGTATCTGACTAAATTTTCCCTTCAGAATTTCCTCTTTTCTCACAGCCTAGTATATATAGAATGTGTGTGTGTGCATATACATGTATTCACACACACAAACCTTATGGTTAACTTACTCTTAATGGCCTTATTCTGATTTCCTTTTTTATTACAATGCTTGGGGTTTTTTTTTTTAGTAGTACTTCATCAAAGAAAGCAATGAGCAAAGAGTAAAGAATTATGCTTGTTTTGAATTACGCTGTAGAAGTTAGCATATGGCTTCTTCCCAAAAAGGTCAGAAGAAAAATGAAGAAATTAATTCTATTTTAATCTACTATAAATCAAAAGCATAAAAAAAGATTGGCTTGCAGTTGCCCTGTCATTTTGCCTTTAGCTCCTCTCTTCATATGCAAATTTTGAATGATAATTGCTTAATGTCAAACATCATATAAATGGTTATCATGAGTGAAACACTATTTGGTATATAAGCTCATATAAGCCTCGGAAAGGGTCCAGTGAAATAAATGCAATTATTACTCCATTTATAGATGAGGAAATCGAGGCACAAAAAGGTTAACTTACCCAAGTTTACACAGCTAGTAAGTTGGATGGACCAGGGTATTAACCTGGTGGTTTTCTAGAGGCCATTGTTACTAGTTCTAGGTTATGTTGCCTTACTACAGAGGAAAAACATACAGTGCACAACATGGGAATAATAAAAAAGGAATACTTATAAGATATTTTAAGATAACTTGTAATTTTAAAGAAAATAACTTTGGGAGAAAAGCTGTGAGTTTGTTTTTTTGTACTAACTAGTTTTTCTTTTTTCTTAATTTGACGCTATCAAGTAAGATGATATCATTGTACATTGCCTTTCATGACTGAGTTTATTTATGATCTCATTTCATAAATGTTACTGACCTGAAGTTTTTTTTTTTTTTTTTTTTTTTTTTTTTTTTTTTTTTTTTTTTTTTTAAGTCCTATCAGATATATCACATCTGATTTTTGGCCTGGAACAAGTTGCTTTCAAAAATTAGCATTACTCTCCGTATACACTGTTATTTGTTACCCAAACAGTAGTACCTTGGATTTACACGATACAGTACAGTTCTTCAAAGTACTGTGAAGTGTGCGCTATCATTTAGATCTGACAAACCCTCGGAGACAAGTAATGTAGGTAGTGCTACCTTCATTTCATAGTTAAAAAACCAAATCTACAGGTCACAGCACTAGTAAAAGAGCTGACCATAGAGCCCATACTCTACTGTTCCTTGTTTCTTCTCTTTGTAATCCCAGTACTTTAGATAGCAATTCTATAGCACATTTATTAGAAACACATTTTAGGGGCGCCTGGGTGGCGCAGTCGGTTAAGCGTCCAACTTCAGCCAGGTCACGATCTCGCGGTCTGTGAGTTCGAGCCCCGCGTCAGGCTCTGGGCTGATGGCTCAGAGCCTGGAGCCTGTTTCCGATTCTGTGTCTCCCTCTCTCTCTGCCCCTCCCCCGTTCATGCTCTGTCTCTCTCTGTCCCAAAAATAAATAAACGATGAAAAAAAAAAAAATTAAAAAAAAAAAAAAAGAAACACATTTTAGATAGCACATTTATTGGAAACAGAATTTAAGAAAAGGGGCAAATTGCAGTAGTGGATTAAAATACGTGTATTTGGGGCGCCTGGGTGGCGCAGTCGGTTGAACGTCCGACTTCAGCCAGGTCACGATCTCCCGGTCCGGGAGTTCAAGCCCCGCGTCAGGCTCTGGGCTGATGGCTCAGAGCCTGGAGCCTGTTTCCGATTCTGTGTCTCCCTCTCTCTCTGCCCCTCCCCCGTTCATGCTCTGTCTCTCTCTGTCCCAAAAATAAATAAACGTTGAAAAAAAAAATTTAAAATACGTGTATTTGAAGAGAGAAGTTCCTGCTTATTAATTGAATTTAAAGATTAACGCTTTGGGTTTTTTTATAAGTGACAAGTTAAATAAATTACAGGTCCTGCAGTTGTCAGTCATCACCTTGCTCGAGTTCTGCTGTTGTGGAAGTGTGTCTTTCCAGTGTCTCCTAAAGATCTAGAAACAGAAAAGAGCCGAGGAGATTCATTTACATGGCAGGTAACCTTGGAAGGACGAGCTGGTGCGCTCTGTGGTAGGTCAAGTTTGGTTTGCTTTCTCACTTTCCTTTGGCTTTTTCCCACTCTTTAACTTTTCATGTGTTTAGATCTTTAATGGTGGAAATATATACTTAGGATATTTTTGTAATTGTATATAATTAGTTAGTGATTATAACAAATGTACAATAAACCAAAGTTAGGGCTCCGATCCTTAGGATAATGCATGTTTTCTTAGATGTAATCCAACTGAGAACTGTCAAGATTGCTTTGTCTTTAGTAGGCATTCATTCCTCTTTTTAGAAATACTAGGATTGGATTTAATTAAGTACAGTTTCCATTTAGTTTTTTGTATATGAAAGTTGTACCCTCCCATAGTATATGAACCATTTAAAAATAGCATCTACCATGAATATTTGAACTAAGGAAGAAAGTATTTCTGGAAAGACATGGAAACATTGATTTTGGTTTTGTTTGTTTATTCATGGCATTTTTACCCTTAAAAAATGAAGACCGTTTTGAAATTCATCTTGAAACTCAGTCTAACTTTAAAATATTCATTTTATTCTACATATGAAGTAACTCCTTCTGAAAACTTGTGTTTCAGGTAACACCTATTAGAACCCAGCACTGTTGACTCAAATGTCATCATAGTTTTGCATAATTAGTGTAGAACTGGCAAACTTGAGGTTCTAAGCTAATTTAGCTCAGAAGCTGAGTAAACCCCAGGAAAGCAGCATTTTGTTAACTTGGTTTTTGGTCTCCTTCAGTGATTCTAGGAACTGTTTTGTTTGTTTGTTTGTTTTTTGTTTTTTGGCTTTTGGGTTTTTTTGTTTTTTGGGTTTTTTTTCCAGCTTGATTAGAGGTAAAAGACCCTAGCTTCCTCTTTGTACTAGAGTTTCAAGAATTTTTTGTTTTTAGCACATTTCTTTATTCCTCTAATAAAAATTCAGAATACTGTACCATAATTGAATGCTTTTTTTCATGGTTCATTACACTCTGCCAAATAAAAATCTGTTCTATTTTTCAGCTGTCAAGAGTTTTGTTTCCCACTGTGGTGATCTCCTTACTGGGGAAGTAATTCAGCGTCTTCTTCCACCACTTCCTTGTGCTGTGGATTTGCTAACTCAGTAAGGATCTGCTATTTAGATATGATAAAATTTTTTAATAGCAGTCAGTTACTGTGGGATTGTGTTAATAGCTGTTTAGTACATTAATAAGGCCAAGTTTGTATGGTTGGTGAATGATTTTCCTTTTGCAGTGGAAGGCAAACATTTAGTTACGTGATTTTTTTTTTTTAGGCTAGGATCTTGAAAGAAAAATACATATTAAAAGGGAAGGAAAGTTACTTGGTGGATATTGTATCTTCCAAACAGTAAGATTTAACCAAGAAATTAAATATTAAGCCTGTTAACCTTTTCAGGTATGCATTTTATTGGTTTGTTAGTGCTATTCTGTGTTCATAAGAACCAGATGCTTGTTAACAGTTTTAGTTTTTTGTTGTTTTTATTTTTCATACATTCGACTTAAACATATAAGAAAACATAAAGAAAATCCAATATATGTCAAGAGCACTTGTAATTTCCAAATTAATATAATGTATAGTTTAAAGAAAGTTTTTCCAGAAAGTATTTAATGATATAAAATTTAGTGTATTACACAAAAATACATTTAAGGTCTGGCTTACAAAGCATAATAATAAAATGAACACTGTGAATCTAACACAACCTGAGGAAGGATTAGCAAATGTTTGCTGTGAAGGGCCAGATTATAAACATTATAGGCTTTGCAGGCCATACAGTCTCTGTTGCATCTACTCAACCCTGTTGTAGCTCAAAAGCTGTCATAGATAATCTATAAATGAGTGAATGTGGCTGTGTTCCAGTAAAACTTAATTTACAAAAACAGATGATGGGCCAGTGTTAGCTACCCTTAAACTGGAACATTAGCAATACTATTGAAGGTATCTGTGACTTCCTTTCTAACACCATTCTTTACTCTTTACTTTAGAGGTAATCACTGTCCTGAATTTTATAGTTGTCATTCCTTTGCATTTTCAGAAAGTATATCACATATATATATGCTTCCCTAAACAGTGTTTAGTTTAGTTTTGCTTGGTTTTGATCAGGCATATAGCATACTGTTTCTGAGACTTAACTTTTTTTACTCATCATGTTTCTCAACTTCGTCTATGAGTAAGTTTGTTCATTCATTTTGATTGTTATATAATATTTAATTGTGTGAGTATATAACATCTTAATTCTGTCAGTGAAATATCCAAATTACATATTTTCCAGAATTCTTGTATATTTATGCCAGTAGTATATGCGAGTATCCTTTGCTCCAGTTCTTCACTAACATTTACTCAGACATCATTTCTAGCTTTCCAGTAGATATAAGTTGGTATCTCATTATGATTTTAATTTCTATATCTGGTTCCTAATTATTTGTCATTTTATATATTTATTATTCCTTAGTATGTCCCCTTCTAGGAAATCCGTATTCATGCATGTCTTTTATTTTTAGGTAAAATAGTTTTTTGATGAACAGACATTAACTGTCAGATTTATCAGTCTTTTACTTTTTGGTTAGTACTTTCTGTCTTTTGGTTTAAAAAATCTTCAGATTTATAAAATTACTTTCTTATATTTCTAAAATATTTAAGGTTTTGTCTTTCACATTTCATTTAAGTCTTTAATCCATGTGGAATTGATTTTTGTGTTTGGAGTGAGGTAGGGATCCAATTTCATTTTACTTTTTAATATGGATAACAAATGGTCCCATTCTTTACTAAAGAATCCACACTAGCTCCAGCAGTTGCCATTCATCTGCCATGTATTGTATTCCTGTATACATGGTCTGTTTCCATGTTCTCTGTTTTGTTCCACTGGTGTGTTTGCCCTTTTCTGGGCCAGTACCACATTATCTAGTAAATTTTAGTATCTGTTAAAGCAAGCTTGTTGGCCTTATTCATCTTTAGGCATAATTTGACCCTTCTTAACACTTCTGATGGTAGGCTGTTGAAATTTAATTGGAATTAATTGAGTCTATTGATAAATTTGAAAATAATTGGCATTTTTACAATAATCAAACACATTTCCTATTATTTTTATTTTTATTTTTTTTTCGTTTATTTATTTTTGGGACAGAGAGAGACAGAGCATGAACGGGGGAGGGGCAGAGAGAGAGGGAGACAGAATCGGAAACAGGCTCCAGGCTCTGACCCATCAGCCCAGAGCCTGACGCGGGGCTCGAACTCCCGGACCGCGAGATCGTGACCTGGCTGAAGTCGGACGCTTAACCGACTGCGCCACCCAGGCGCCCCAACACATTTCCTATTACTGAGGTCCTCTACAAATTATAATTTTTTTCTATGAAAGTCTTATATGTCTTTTTGCTTGTTTGTTTTAGTAAGTAAGTAAGTAAGCAAGCTCTACACCCAACGTGGGGCTTGAACTCAAGACCCCAAGATCAACAGTCACGTGTTCTAAAGCCAACCAGGCACCCCAAGAATTTTTTTAAAATAGTATTTTATTAGGTGATAAAATATAATAAGTTTTTTTGTTGCATAAATGATTGCTTCCTCTCTTAAGTTAAAACATACAAACCCCTTTTGTTATTTTTCTTAAACAAATTGAGAAAGTACTTAGGTCTGTATATTTCCCCTACTTCACTAATTTACAAATAGTCTTTTTAAAAATTTATTCCCAGATACTTTATATTTTTCATTGCAGTTATCAATTAAGTATGTGGTAGTGGGAGAGTGTAAGTATGTATAATTTCTTTATTGCTATTATATAAAAATGTAATTAAGATTATATCCACCCACCTTGCTAAACTCTCCTGTATTAAACATTTATTTTTAGATTCTTCTGGATTTTTCCCTTTATAATACTTATTTATATTCTCTCCCCACATGTGTTAACTAGATTACTACCATTTAAAGCTAAATAAGGGGCAATTGGGTGGCTCAGTCAGTGAAGTGTCTGACTCCTAGTATCAACTCAGGTCATGATCTGACAATTCATGAGTTCAAACCCCACATCAGCCTCTGCACTGGGTGGCTTGGAGCCTGCTGGAAATTCTGTCTGTCCGTCTGTCTGTCTCTCTCTCTCTCTCTCTCTCTCTCTCTCCCTCCCCCACTCTCTCCCTCTCTCCCTCTCTCTCCCCTCCCTCCCCCTCTCCCTCTCCTCCTCCCTTGTGTGTGCTCTCTCTCAAAATAAATAAATAAACTTAAAAAAAAAAAGGAAAAAAAGAAACATAAAAGGAGCACTCATGTTTACTAATAATATGTGTAGCTATTTTGCATTTATATGTCAGCCTGTTCGGTGTTTATATGTTGTATAACTTATGTACTTAAAATACACTTTTTCTTTTACTTTAAGGCTTTCTTCAGTGCTAAAAGCATATGGAAGTCCTTTGAAAACACCATCATTAGTTTATAGACAGAGGCTTTATGAATTATTGATTTTATTACCTCCTGAAACCTATGAAGGTATGTGCTTTAAACCAAAATGTTTTGTTTGTGGCCAGGACAGTGCCTGGAAAGTAATACCTGAATGAATGAATGAATGAATGAATGAATGATATGGCATTTATTTAGTGTCTTACTTCTGGGAGGTTTAGGGAGTTCAATCTTAGCCATTGTGTTCACCATTATATAGTAAATAATGTCTTACTTTCTTTTCTCCTCTGGGAAAAAAAGACCCTAGTTCCACTGTGTGGAAGAGAATGAGTCACAAAGATTGGTCTTGATTCTACTCTGGTCTTTGGTACAGAATATATAATGTAAGTCTATTAGACATTTGGCCATTCCTAGTTTCCTTCTATAGTGATTTTCTGCTGTACATATTATGTTGCACTATTCTATTCTTCACTCTGCCCAGATAGAAGTTTAATACTCAACTACCAAGGGACACCTGGGTGGCTCAGTGGTTAAGCATCCAACTTTGTCTTAGGTCATGAACTCGTGCTTTCCAAGTTTGAGCCCCAGATCCAGCTCGCTGCTGTCCGCACAGAGCCCACTTGTAGAAGACAGATTCTCTGTCTCCCTCTCTCTGTGCCCCTGCCCCACTTGTGCTCTCTCTCAAAAATAAATAAACATTTACAAAAATACTGAACTACCAAGATATGATTGATTTTATAATGTTTAGGGTATAGGTTTTGCCTTTATTGGGTTCAAAAAGAACTTTAGATTACTGGCATACTATGATTCATAAAATAAACTTGCCCCTATTTTAAAATAGTCCTAAAAGCTTTCTTATAAATCTAAAGCACAGTTTTAAGAAAATACATTGCTACTGCCAAATACTCAAGATGCTTGTTTTAAGAGTCTTAATAATTAAGTTGATTATGACTTTCAAATCTGTTTCCTGTAAAAATACTTTTATTGGCTTATATCCTTATTCTGCAAATAAATGCAGTATAATATATACCACATTAGTTCAAACCTATAACTTGTAATTTCTGTTTTGGCCTTTATTATTATGTGAATGGTATTGTTCCCACTGCCTCTCTTCCTGGTTCACAAATGTACCTAGCAAAATATTTGATGATAAAGTAATCATTTAGTATAAGAACTGGAAAAAGATGGGTACATTGTCATTTCCCAAGGACTGTATGAAAAGAATCATTTCTGTAGGGCAGACACTGTGGTAGAGATTGTATATATTATTTACTTCATTTATCTTAGCATAATACAATGAGCTAGTTACATTTTCCTCATTAGACAGATAAAGGTACAGCAAATTTATAAAAAAACCAACTCAAGAACATATATGCAGTAAATAATGGAATCAAGATTATAGATATGCTTCATGCTGTGCTGTATACTGTTTATAAGTAACCTACAAAAGACTTAACAGTCAAGGCTTAATGATAAGTCTGTCTCATTGTGTGCTATCTCTTACTACATAAAAGTATTTACCTCCTAGATATCTAATAAAAGCCCTAGGGATAATTTCTATGTTCCATACCAGATAGTTGTCAACTTCTGGCAAAAGCAATTCCCTTTAGACATATCAATTTTACCATATTTTGGAGTTTAGTTTCAAACTACAGATGACAGAAATTGACTTATTTTTCAGTCTTGATTAAATATCTGTGAATACCAAGATATCAATTTAAGATCTGCAGTGTATCTTCTAATGATGATAATATAAGTCTGCCCTATAAGGACTTAAAGAGAAGAACAAAGTCTTGTGCTTTTTTTCTCAGAATTGGAGTTTGAGAATGCAGTCAGAATTCCTAAAGAAATAACAGATATACACATGTATAGATTTTAAATTAGTTACAGAGTGTTCACAGGAAGACAAAGTTGGAAATTACTCTAAACTTCTTGAAAAATAGAATCTGAATTTACCCTCTTAATCAGTTTCAAGTGTATCTATTTTTCTAACATGACTTAAAGAAGAAATTAGTTAATAGAAAAATGAAAATATGGTGGTATTAATAGTTTTGTTTCAACCAAAAATAGTAATTTGCCATTTCTTCGCTATCTTTTTTCTATCTTTAAAACTATAGAAATAAAATTAAGAATTTTTTCCTTAAAGACTTTTTTTTTTTAATGGTACTCTTTTTAATAGATAAATGTGCATGGAGCATAACAATCAGAACTTTACCATTAAAATATCAATTGACACTTAAAATAATGGCTCATCATACAATAATAACCTATAGTAATTTCTAAATATTTAACACAAAAGGAAGTAGTAGTCTTTAAAGTATATATCTAATTATCTCAGAAAATATGGCAAGAAACAAAACAGCAGTTTATTGTGTTAAGATTTTATTTATTTTTGGGGCGCCTGGGTGGCTCAGTCGGTTAGGCGACCGACTTCGGCTCAGGTCACGATCTCGCTGTCTGGGTTCGAGCCCCACATCGGGCTCTGTGCTGACAGCTCAGAGCCTGGAACCTGTTTCAGGTTCTGTGTCTCCCTCTTTCTCTGACCCTCCCCTGTTCATGCTCTCTCTCTGTCTCAAAAATAAATAAATGTTAAAAAAAAAAAAAA